CTAGTAGCGTCCTTGCTCCTAGTAGTAAGGCTAGGAGCCCCTAGTAGAGTCCCTTTAAGCACCTTTCTCCCGCCAAATTAATTCAACTCCTTCGCAGCAAAAACCTGTTTGAACACTGGTGCTCGTCCTGCTAGCTGCATTGGTGAAAAGAGTCGTCTGAGTTTAACAGCTTCTCAGAATACTCGATGCCCTATACAATCGCCACTCATCTCCGAGGCTCCTCTGTAGCTTTGTCCTTGTCAGCTCCCGCCTCCAACAAACATCGCACGACCTGCGGCCATGACGGCACCGCCACTGACAACGGCGTGCGCCCGTGCTGGTCCGACTGGTTACCTCAGTGTGAGTCGCACATGAGTGCTCTCTTCAAAGGCACGCTGTGCCTATAGACGTATGCAAATCTGTTGCTCATACGTAGAGAATCAAGGCCAGGCGGAGGAAGCCCTCACCTTGCCAACCACTTTTGGGTTTTGATCCTTGTGGCTAGACATTCAGCATCACTTCTTGGCTAACTCCAAAAAAAAAAAGTATCGGGTAGCCAGGCCCCACAAACTTCCAGTTTCTTCGACTTCAAACTTCAAACCCCATGACCTTTGGTTTCGTCTTTTTCTCAAAAATCGCAGAAAACCTAGATCTCTGCCGTGATGCTGTCCACCTTGGCCTCCAACAGGCTCCGCACCGCGCCCGAACATCCGTTCTGCGCCGCGGCGAACAGGGGCGTCACGCCGCCGTCCGCCGGCGCGGACGGGTCGGCGGAGGCCTCCAGAAGCAACTCCTAGGGCCGACGGCGGCGACGAGGTCCGACACCTTAAGGGGGGAAGAAGCCGAAAAGGAAGAGATAAAAGAAAGGGGTAACAGAGAGAACAAGGGGATCGGAAAAAAAGAACGATACTCTTTTGGGGCGGGTGCTTTGAATGATTTACGAATGGAAATGCCAGGTATCTTGGATGTAGTGAACCTTTGCTAGGATTGCTGATATAAGCATGAAAGTTAGCTAACGATATGCGCCTGAAGGACCGTTTGTGATGATCTGCGTGATGGCGTCGCCAAACTACTGATAACAAGCAAGCAGGTGAGAACTTCAGGCCTACATAGATGGCCTCCAATCTAGTAGCGGTGGCCTCCAACCTACTATCGATGGCCTCCAACCTACCGATAACAAGCAAGCAGGTGAGAACAAGATCGAGGCGAAATACGTTGGGCACCGCATTGCTTGGCTACAGGTCTTCTTAGACTTTGGGTGATTACCCTCTACTCGGAGACCATCTCTTCACAGACAGATCAATAACGATATTTGGGGATAGATTCATGATCGACAAGTTGGGTCAACGAGACACCATAGACTCACCTTACAAAGCTACAGAGGGGTCCCTGTCACCCAGAACAGTGGTTTCCGAGAAGATGGCTTGGATTCCAAGTTTTCTGACGGAAACTAACGGATCCAGATCCAAGATGGTCAAACCGGATTCTTTCTGCTCCTCCACCCTTAGCTACGAAATAAATATGCACAACTGTGCAAGAGCCAATGGCGCCCCAAGTCCTTCTTCCATACTTTCCCCAAAGAGCTACCTACAAATGCGTGAGATGAGTCAGGCAGGAAGGATTTCGTGACTTTCAAGGTCTCTCGTCCTGAAAGGCTCATCAATTACATCCAAGTTAGTCTCAGAATGTCATTTTGTGATGATGATGATGATGATGGTGTTTTAAGAGATGTCCACACTGTTTCCAACAGAATGCTCCTTAAAAAAAAAAAAAAAAAACTTTCCTTCGAGTGATCCCCACCATGACATTTCAATCAGTTGTCTTCATGCCATAGTGAGGAGCATTTTGCCATGGTCGTGAGTATTGTAGTTCTCGATTTTGCTTGGGGGTCCTCGGGTTGTGTGCTGTGGTTGTGGTTGTGTGCTGTGTTGTGGTTGTGGTTGTGTTTGTGATTGTGTGTTTGCGGCTGTGTGTTTGTTGTTGTGTGTTTGTGGTTGTGTGTTTGTGGTTGTGTGGTTGTGGTTCTGCGTTTGTGGTTGTGTTTGTGTTTGTGGTTGTGTGCTGTGGTTGAGGTCCGGCAGGGAACACTGGGCGTGGATGGTCGTGGTTGAGGTCCGGCGGAGGAGGACGGGGACGAGAAGAAGGAGGAGGCGGAGGAGGAGGAGATGGGGCTGATATTAACAACCCTCACCTGACAGGTGGGGAAAAAAACTGACCGTATTCTGAAGCCTCTCATTTTGAACTGGAACTATTGGTGGGAAGCCTTCATAGACGTAGACATTCATACACTAAGGTTCTTATACTGTAGCCATTGTGGTCCTCAGTCCAAGAAATGAACTAGGAGCAAAGGGCATCGCTACTAGGAGCAAGGACGCTACTAGGGGCTCCTGGCCTTACTACTAGGAACAAAGTTTAGTAACAAGAATTCAATAAGTTAAATAAGCTACTAGGAACAAGTGCATCGCTTCTAGTAACAAGTGCCTTACTACTAGTAACAAGAATTAAAATGCAGAATGCATTTGTTACCACATCGGACCACCGGGTGTCCTGACCCTTCGGACCTTTTGCCCAGGCGCTACCACGTCGACATGTCCCGCAACACTGGCCTTCCAAATAGCCGACCTAGTCAGCGCTTGTACTACGCGCCTCCACGGAAACACGGTTACCACGGTCACTGTGATGAACGAATTTGAGTGAAATTCATTGGAACCCATTCGATGGCGACGGCGATACCCACCGTCAGGATGGAACATGCAATGCTCCACTGCAGGCGTTGCCGGATTTTCTGCCACTTTTTGTCTTGCTTGGGTAGCTACACAACGATCCCTCTTTCATCGGACTACGAGCAGTACAACCCCAAACATCCCCAAACCACGTACCACACCGCGTTGCACGCAGCCCGCACAGCACGAACCAAGAGACTCGCCCTGCTCATCCCGGCCATTGGGATCCTGGAACTGCTGCAGCAAGCGCCGGACGGTCGCAAGCTCCCCGTTGGCGCTGGCGCTCCAAAGCTGTGTCTGGTACTGCTGGACGAGCTGTTGGAAGGCCACAGCCACTTCGCTGGGCCTACCAAGGCTGTCGAATGACCTGCCCTCAGGTAAAAGATCCTCAGAGGAAGGTGGGTGAATGGTAAAACAAGGAACATTCAAACATCTCTAGCAAACATCCTTGTTCTTTCACGGTGAGTCAGGATGTGGATGCGTTCCTGATGGGCTTGGATTCTGAACACGGCATCACGCAAAAGAGCTTGGCAGATCATTGGGCATCGAAAATGTCTGATTTGGGTCACCAGAGTCAGTTCAAACTGCTGAAGACAGCAAAGACACATCACGCTTGGTAAACACTTTTCTTGAAGAAATAGCATCAGTATTTTCCTAGTAGCGTCCGATCGCTCCTAGTAGTAAGGCCAGGAGCTACTAGTAGCGTCAAGGAAGCTGAAGCTGGACAATCTTGATATACATGTTGTTTGGGACTTGGACCATCTGTAGATCAAAAAACTCCTAGATAATGAGCATGGACAAAACCATCCGCGCAGCAAAGTGAACAAACATCGAAAGATCTAGGCGCTCAAATCATTGGATCTTTGTTTATGTCCTCTCTTTCTTGATTCATGAGATGAGATCAATCAAGTTTCGCACAAAATACTGAGGCTTCAAGGCCCATGGCTTTCCTAACAACATTGGTCTTGCAGTTTCAGTTTATGAATTCCATGTTGGACGGCGATGACATCCACCCGGCGCCAAAACCAAATCGAAACATGATGTTTCAGTTGGGTCAGAACCAGTGACTTCTGGCGGTCGTTGTTCTTCTTCCTTCTTCCTTCTTCTGCTTCCAGATGATACTCCGCTATCCTCACCAAGATATATCAGCATGCCTACTGTTGATGGACAGGTGCTGAACCACCTGGTATGCACAACATCTTGTAAATGTGTGCCTCTCCAATGTTGGGGGAAACAGAGCTGTTTCTTCCAGAGTATCTGAGAATTGTTCATCTAAGGGGAACATGTGGGAGCAATCCATCTCCAATCTCAGACACATCTCCCAACTAGCAACCCCATCACTAGGAGCAAGAAGCTACTAGGGGCTTACCAGGAGCAAAGGACGCTACTAGGGGCTCCAACTTCCCTCATCCAACCCCTCTGCCCAGTGTCCCACCCTTCCGTTCTCTTCCCACCGAGCAGCACCGCCCAGAAGCAGCACCAAACAAAAGCGACTCATTCGACTCGAATCGCCCTTCGCGGCGCACGTCGCCGCCTCGCTGCGCGAGGAAGAAATGCGTCGCTTCAGCGTGTCAGCGAGATCCTCCTTATCCGCCTCCTCCAGGGGCACCTCCTAGCAAAAAGGCCGGCAGGCCCAAAAAAAGGGACGAAGAGAAGAAAAGGGACATTTTAACCTTCTTTTAACATCGTCCTTCAACCAGCAATAAGACCGATGTTTAAGCTGTTTGTTCCGAGATGGCCAAATGGTGGGTGAAGCGAAGCTGTTTCCCCGCAAAGCAAGGACTGTTAGAGCGTCTTGGAGATTTGCATAGAGAAAAGTTGTCAAACATGTTGCGATCAAGGTCGTGGAGGCGAACTTGCACTCAAAGGGTGCCAAGGACTGAGGAAGTTGTGGCTTTGCGTCTTGAATATCCCCAAATGACATTTATGGGGCTTAGTTTTGCCATAGCCTTTTGCGGTGTTGCGCTTCAACTCCTCACACACGTCGGTTCCACCCGAAGAGCTCCACTCGCAACTTTTTCACAAGAAGCTCATTCCATCCGGTTTGGGTCCAGGTAAGAAGCTCTTTGTCTCCAAGACCTTCGATGTCACCTTGGCCGAATGCAAGCAAACCCTGGCACTGCGGTCCCTCCAGGCCGGGTTCCGCCCAAAGCAGAGCGGCCCCAAGAAATTCGACCGCGTGCTCCGCGCGTCTTGGCCAACCTCCAGTTCACCCACCAGTTCCTTGGCAATGTAGGCACCTGCAAAAAAAGCACAAGCTGAACTGTTAACTTGGCCCTTAGGCACATTTAGAGGCACTTACTACTTGCAACAAAAGAAGTCAGAAAGGTAGGCAGGAAATCGTTCGTTCCTTCTCAAAGTGTGGGCGCGAAGCGTGGTCCCATCAAAAGTGCCGGCGAGGTGAATCCAATGTGACCGCCATGGGCGCCCCTCGGTGGTCAGTTCAATGTGCTGGCCATTGATGGTGATGAGGAAGACCAGTCCTGCGCCATTGCTGGAAGGTTGGAGGCCATTGCTATTAGGATGGAGGCCATCGCTTTTAGGTACGTTGGAAGCCATTGCTATTAGGTTGGGTAGGAAAGCCAGTCCTCCCTTCCGACAGAGTCGTAGCTCCCAACCAGTGGCCGGGCCATGACGTGAGACGATGGGATTCCTGAGTTGCTTAAGACGAAAAGAACGAACATCGCAGCGTTGCAACTATGAGCAAGAACGCTACGTTCGGGGTTCCTGGCCTTACTAGGAGCAAGGAAGCTAAAGAAGAAAAGGGACTTCTGTTGCTTGACGATGCCAGGATTCATGAAGGACTCAGCACGCAAATCCTCGGACTTGGCAAAGACCCAGGCTTCCACTGTGAAACCTTCCTCTGAGAGGAAGGCATCGTGGCTTGGCGTCATTTCGACTGCAGCCAGGTCCCCTTGCAGGTCCAAACATTTACTTGGGCCAAGCTGAGCAACCACGGCGCCAGACACCAGTTCTGCCATCACTGTACCATCACAGTCATCTGTGTCTCCGGCAAGCAGAAGGAAGTCAGAGTCCTGCACAGAAGGATTAGATAGGAAACCACATCAAAATTGCTGATGGCAAATGCAACCTCGGAGTGATACATTGAGTTCTTGATCTAAGGCAATACTCAAGCGCATCTCTTCGCACATGCATCCAACAATTGCGGTTTCTATATCTCCAATAAGCATCACCCACAGAAAAGGCGTGTCCCGTCACGTGGTCCTCCCTCCAATCAAGAACACAATGTAAGTCATGTCCTTATGTCTTGACCTAGGTAATTCGTTCTCCGCGCAAAAACAACATTTAACATCGAATTCAATCTAGAACCTTTGGCCATCGTTAGTAGGTTGGAGGCCATTACTACTAAGAACAAGAAGCTATTAGGTTGGACCGACGCTTCCAAGTCCTCCAAAAGCGGATGCAATGCTTTCTGTCCGCACTCCCCGCGCTCCAGGCGCCACTCCAGCGCGCCCGAGCTGCGTCCACACTGCTCCGCCGAAGAGGCCGCAGCATCTCGTGCCACCTGCGTCGGGCCACGACAGGGCCTTGAAGCTCCTAGTAGCGTCCTTGCTCCTAGTAGTAAGGCCAAGAGCCCCTAGTA